CCCCGATTGGGGCCGCAATCTCAGCTCACTGCACCTCTGCCTCCCAGGTTCAAGCGAGATTCTCCCTGCCTCAGCCTCCCGAGTAGCTGGATTACAGGCACCTTGCTACCACGCCGGGCTAATTTGTATTTTTAGTATGAGATGGGGTTTTTCACATGTTGCGTCAGCGTGTATACAGACTCCCGACCACAGATGACCCACCGCATCGCGACTCCCAACCTGCTGGGATTCCGGGCATGACCAACAGCACCTGCCTTTTTTTTTTTTTTTCTGTTGAGAAGGAGTCTCGCCTCTGGTCACCCAGAGCTGTGGAGTGTAGTGGCTGGTGATCTTAGCTCACTGCAACCTTCACGGCCCGAGTTCAGCCAATTCCGTCCTGCGCCTCAGCCTCCGAGTAGCTGGGATTACAGGCACCTGCCACCACGCCCCGGGCTCTTTGTTTTTTTTTTTTGTTTGTATTTTTTTTTTAGTAGAGAAAGAGTTTCACTATATTAGCCAGGATGATGTCGATCTCCTGACGTCATAATCTGCCCACCTTGGCCTCCCAAAGTGCTGGGATTACAGGGGTGAGCCACCTCGCGCTGCCACCCTGCCAACTTATTTCTTTTGTTGTTCAGTTCCATGAATTTTAACACATACGTAGATTCTTGCAGTCAGCACCACAATCAGGATATGTAACAGTTTCATCTCGCTGAAAAACTCCCTTGTTGTTATTATTGGCAAGCCTGAGCTATTTTGTAAACACATGGATAATTGTACCCACTAACACCAATCAGAGGTTATTGCCCTAAGAGGAATAGATAAAAAAGACTGTGGGCCTAAGGTTATAGCCCAGAAAGAAGGTCTTCCTGTTTTGAGAGTGAAAAATCCAAGAACATCTGGGTTTCCTTTGTATTTTACCTTTACCTAATCATTTTGTGCATGTTGGAGCACTTCCTTTTCTACTTTTAAGATAGCCTCGCTCTGTCGCACAGGCTGGAGTGCCGTGGTACTGTCATGGTTCACTGCAGCCTCCACCTCCCAAGCTTAAGCAATCCTTCCTCCTCAGCCTCCTGATTAACTGGGACCACAGGTGCATGTCACCACCCTGGCTGATTTTTTTTTTTTTTTGGTAGACACAGGTCTCCCTGTGTTGCCCAGGTTTGTCTCGACCTCTTGGGCTTAAGTGATCCTCCTCAGCCTCCCAGAATGCTGGGATTACAGGCATGCGACACCATGTCCTGCTGAGCACTTCCTTTTCTAAAAGCATCGGTTGCTTCCTTTGCCATTAGCAACTAAGGTCAGTATGTTTTTATAGGACAATGGAAATGCTCCTAATGGATTTTTTGGTACCATGCTAGTTTGTGGCTATTCTTGCCAAAACCCAATCATTTGTGCTTAAGGGTATAGAAATAAATACCCTTGTCGTATGTTCTGCTTGTCATTATTCTGTAGCATAGTAAAGAATCGACTGTTATTTTAAGTGCTCTTTTGTCTGGTTAAATAATTAAGAACATTTTTAAAGCCTTTAGAAAAGGAAGAAACAAGTCATATTGAAGAACTTCAATCTGAAGAAACTGCCATATCTGATTTCTCTACTGGCGAAAATGTTGGACCACTTGCTTTACCAGTTGGGAAGGCAAGGTAGGTTTTCTCTTATGCTGAGTAAGGGTGGTGACTAGGATTTAAATTGAAACATTCTTATAAACATTGGGAAAAATAGGCCTCTAGCCCTTATATCTTCCTTCATCTCCCCAACCCCCCATAAGTATACCCAACTAAGGATAGTTCTACTTAAATATCTGATAGGTATCCCAAATGTGACCAAGAATACTGCAGTTATCTTCCTTTCTCTACACCTCTATACCAATTTATTGTTGTTTCTCAATTGTTTTCCTTATGTGTAATCTGGTTCCCCTCCAGTCTTTCTTCCTGTCTTTCTTTCACTCTTCCAAGTGAAAGCCTGACCAAGCTTCTTTCCTGCTTAAAATCCTTTAGTGGTTCTTTATCGGCTTCATGATAAAACCCAAATTCCTTAAGAATGACATATAGGAACCTTCATTGCCTAGCCCCACTGGGCCTCCACCAGGGGTGGTACCACACCCAGAGGGAATTGGAAATATAGGGGAGTATTTGGTTTGTCACAGTGACTGAGGGGAGCTACTGGCATTTAGTGAACCTGGGCCGTGGATGGCAAACATCCTGCAGTGCATGGGACTCTCCCGCACAATGAGCAGTTATCTCACCCAAGGTGCCAGTAATGCCCCTGTTAGAAACCTGAGAGCCTCTGGCTACCTCTCCAGCTTCGCTTCCTGCCTCCCCACTGTGTGGCTATGCATAGTTCCCTCTGTCCAGCCCGGTCCAGCCTCCGCCTGCCTTCAAAACCAGAAAGTCCTTGTCTTCCAGATGTTCTGGTGGATATAGTCATGGAAATACTAACAGAATGGTATGAGAATGATAACTACTGTAATAACATTCACAAAATGATTCCTTCATGCTGGTTTTTATTTTCCTCTATGGAAGTTTCTTTTTTCTTTTTTTCTTTTTTTTTTTTTTTTTTGATACGGAGTTTTGCTCTTATTGCCTAAGCTGGAATGCAATGGTGCAATCTCAGCTCACTGCATCCTCTTGCCTCCTGGGTTCAAGTGATTCTCCTGCCTCAGGCTCCTGAGTAGCTGAGATTACAGGCATACACCACCATGTCTGGCTAACTTTTTGTATTTTTAGTAGAAACGGGATTTCACCACGTTAGCCAGGCTGGTCTTGAACTCTCACCTCAGGTGGATCCACCTGCCTAGGCCTCCCAAAGTGCTGGGATTACAGGCGTTAGCCACCATGCCCAGCCTAGAAGTTTTAAAAGTTTAATCAGCCTTTTCCTTCATAGGTCCTTGATTTCAGTCATATTTGGCCTGTTTTCTCCCTACAACTTTAATGTTATTTATTTGTATTATTTTCTCCAGCCAGTGTTTATGTGGGTTGATTGATGTGCTTTTTTCTTTGCTCTCCATTTCTTCTTGCATTTTCCTTCTGGGATTATTTCACCTCTTTTTGGAAATAAAATCCCCTGGAAATTTTTTTCCTGGACATCTGTTGGTAATCAATTTAGTTTTCATGTCTTTGAAAAATAAAAATGTAAGCCACATTTTTTGGTGACTTTTAATTTTGATATACTTTCAAATTTACAGGAAAGTTACAAGAATAGTACGTGAACTTCTGTATATCCTTAATCCAGATTCACCAGTTGCTTAGATTTTGCAGCATTTGCTTCTTTTTCTTCTTCTTCCCCTTTTCCTTTTTCTCTCTTTTGTATGTCTTTCTAGATAGATATATGCAAAGCAGTATATTGCTATATATGTATTCATATATAGGTATATATGTATATTGTTACAACTATATATCATTATAACAATACGTTTATAACTATATATTCTTATAACTATAGTCTGTGTGTATGTGTATGTGTGTGTATATATATATGGTAATATACACACATACACCATTTTTAAAATGAAGTATTGACAATGTAGTGAAGATATGGTATTCTTTTACCCCTAAATACTCCTCTTTGTATTTTCTGTGAACAAATATATTCTTTTACATAACCATGGAACAATGATCAGAATCTGGAAATCTAATATTATTACAATACCGTTATCTAATCAGAGCCCATATTCAAATTTTGTTAACTGTCTCACTAACTAATGACTGAGCATCATTTTGTGCTTATTGGCTCCTAATTCTTTCCTTTCTGTTTTTTTTGAGGCAGAGTCTCACTCCGTTGCCCAGGCTGAAGTGCAATGGCGCGATCTCAGCTCCCTGCAACCTTTGCCTCCTGAGTTCAAGTGATTCTCCTGTTTCAGCCTCCCGAGTAGCTGGGATTCAGGTGCCTGCCACCATGCCTGGCTAATTTTTGTATTTTTAGTAGAGATGGGGTTTTACCATGTTGGTCAGGCTGGTCTCAACTCCTGACCTCGTGATCTGCCCGCCTTGGCCTCCCAAAGTGCTGGGATTACAAGCATGAGCCACTGCGCCCAGCCCGGCTCCTACTTACTTCTTTAGATTAATCTCACATCCTACCTCTTCTACTGAACTTCCACTTCTGCTGAACCCCCAGTCCTCACCATATTGAAGCTCCCTGCTCATAGTAGCTCCAATCCTGTCATACTCTGTCACTTTCTGGTGCATGCATTTTGATTTGCCTGGTGAATCTATTAATGGATAAAGTATACATATATATACATCTTGCTATTTAAGTTTTAGGTTGTTGTTTCTGTGAGACCTCTCATATCTTTTTTTTTTTTTTTTTTTGAGATGGTGTCTTACCCTGTCACCCAAGCTAGAGTGCAGTGGCACGATCTGGGCTCACTGCAAGCTCTGCCTCCTGGGTTCACGCCATTCTCAGCCCCTCGAGTAACTGGATCTACAGGCACCCGCCATCACACCAGGCTAATTTTTTTGTATTTTTAGTAGAGATGGGATTTCACCGTGTTAGCCAGGATGGAAGACCCCTCGTATCTTTTTAAAAGAAAATTCTGGCTGGACGTGGTGGCTCACGGCTATAATCCCAACACTTTGGGAGGCTAAGGCAGAAGAATTGCTTGAAGCGAGTAGTTTGAGACTAGCCTGGGCAACACTGCAAGACACTCTCTCTCTACAAAAAATAAAAATAAGCCTGATGCAGTGGCTTGTGTCTGTAGTCCCAGCTACTTGGGAGGCTGAGACAGGAGGATCACTTGAGCCAAGGAGGTCGAGGCTGTAGTGAACTATGATTGCACCACTGCATTCCAGCCTGGGCAACAGAGTGAGACCCTGTCTCTCAGAAAAAAAAGAAATTCTTGAATTGGAAATCTCTGTCTATAATTTGTCCTTACTCTTGTTTTAAAGGCAGTTAATTGGACTTTACACCATGGCTCACAATCCTAATATGACCCATTTGAAGATTAATCTGCCAGTTACTGCCCTTCCTCCCCTTTGGGTAAGATGTGACAGTTCAGATCCTGAAGGTACTTGTTGGCTAGGAGCTGAGCTTATCACAACAAACAACAGCATTACAGGAATTGTCTTATATGTGGTCAGTTGTAAAGGTGAGTGCTGTCTCTAGAGTGTGTGTGTGTGTGTGTGTATGTGTGTATTTATTCATTTGCATAGTTACTGTTTCATGTTTTTTTACGAAAATTGATATTGTTATGACATAAGGTAGAACTTGCATTAATCACCATAAATCTACTCTAGTGTGTAACTTGCAGCATGTGGGAGGTATTCCAGAAACACCAGAAACAGATCTCCAAAAGTCTGGACAAGAGGTTTACACTTGTCTGATTTGGGTTTCATTTTATTTCTACGCGTATATTATTGAAAATTTTCATTGGAAGATACAAACTGACAATATGTTTCCAATCTCAGACATTTAATTGTATTTTTGGTAGTAGTATTGACCCTCATTCCACTTTATTTTTTATTTGTTTATTTATTTATTTTTTTTGAGATGGAGTCTCGCTCTGTCACCCAGGCTGGAGTGCAGTGGCACAATCTCGGCTCACTGCAACTTCCGCCTCCTGGGTTCAAGCAGTTCTCTGCCTCAGCTTCCAGAGTAGCTGGGATTACAGGCATCCATCCGCCACTATGCCCGGCTAATTTTTTTGTATTTTTAGTGGAGACGGGGTTTTACCATATTGGTCAGGCTGGTCTTGAACTCCTGACCTCATGATCCACCCACCTTGGCCTCCCAAAGTGCTGGGCTTACAGGCATGAGCCACCGCGCCCAACCTCCACTTTATTTTTTATTTACTTTTTTTTAGAGACAGGGCCTTACTCTGTAGCCCAGGTTGGGGTACCATAGTGCCTTCATAGGTCACTGCAGCCTCAAACTCCTGGGCTCAAGTGATCCTCCCACCATAGTCTCCTGAATAGCTGGGACTACAGGAGAGCACAACCATTCCCAGCTAATTTTATTTTTATTTTTAATTTGTTTTTAAAAGACAGAGTCCCACTATATTGCCCGGGCTGGTCTCAAACTCTTAGCCTGAAGCAGTCCTCGCACCTCAGCCTCCTGAGTAGCTGGGATTATAGGCAAGTGCTGCTGCGCCTGGCTGTTCCACTTATATTCTTTTTTTTAGTTTTTTGAGGTAGGATCTTACGCTGTCACCCAGGCTGGAGTGCAGTGGCGCAATCATGACTCACTGCAGCCTCAACCTCCTGGGCTCAGGCAATCTTGTCACCACAGCCTCCCGAATAGCTGGGACTACAGGCACATGCCACCACACCTGGCTATTTTTTTTATTTTCTGTAGAGACAGGGTCTTGCTATGTTGCCCAGGCTGGTCTCAAACTCCTGGATTCAAACGATCCTCCCTCCTCGGCCTCCTAAAGTGCTGGGTTTATATGTGTGAGCCACCATACCCAGCCCACTTTCATTCTCTTATAAACATTTCACTTATCTATGATTTGAAATTTAATTTTAGCAGTTATTTTGTTGAGTTGCAGTACACTGAGAATGTGAGGGATTACAGTTTTGTAGCTCTAACAATGTAATTTTGAGTTGTGCCTTTACATGTCTTTCTTTCATTTCGTATAGCTGATAAAAATTATTCTGTAAATCTTGAAAACCTAAAAAATTTACACAAGAAAAGACATCACTTGTCTACTGTAAGTGTTTTGCTTCTACTCATATTATTTTCTTCAAATTGTTATCAACCTGCCTTCCTAGTTTACAGGTTTTTTTTCACTCCTAAGATGACTAGATATCTTTCTGTAGTATGAATATGTTTATGTTTATTTTCATATCAGCTAATGACCAAAATTAAAATGCCTTCATGCCTTTTAGCTAATCTTTGTGGTTTCTTTTTTTTTTTTATTTTTATTTTGAGACGGAGTCTCGCTCTGTAGCCCAGGCTAGAGTGCAGTGGCCAGATCTCAGCTCACTGTAAGCTCCGCCTCCCGGGCTTAGGCCATTCTCCTGCCTCAGCCTCCCGAGTAGCTGGGACTACAGACGCCCGCCGCCTGGCTCGGTTTTTTTCTGTATTTTTTAGTAGAGATGGGGTTTCACTGTGTTAGCCAGGATGGTCTCGATCTCCTGACCTCGTGATCCGCCCGTCTCGGCCTCCCAAAGTGCTGGGATTACAGGCTTGAGCCACCGCGCCTGGCCATCTTTGTGGTTTCAAAGAATTGTCTTACTTTTCCATTTGGGATAAAAGTATGGCATGTGTGCTTTTTCTTCTTTGGGGACAAGGATCAAAATAGTTTGGTAATGGGCTTTTGGCCATGTGGAAGCACAGCTAAATGGTCTGCTGGGTGCACTCTTTTCAGGTAACATCCAGAGGCTTTGCACAGTACGAGCTCTTTAAGTCCTCTGCCTTGGATGATACAATCACAGCATCACAAACTGCGATCACTTTGGATATTTCCTGGAGTCCTGTGGATGAGATTCTTCAAATCCCTCCACTCTCTTCAGCTGCAACTCTGGTAAGAGTGGACCCTATTTCGTTTCCAGGTTCATGAGAGTCCTAAATGTTGGTTTACTTGCTTGTTGCTGGTGCTCCATGCTTCTAGTCTCGGCACTTGCTGGGTGTGAGCTTGGACAACTCTGAAAGGCCCACCTTGCCACTAACGTCTCACCAGGGCAGCCAGTGAAGGTTTTGTCAGGTGATCTGATCTATCAGTTGCCCTCAGCCCTATAGTAATATAACTGAAGAATTTTCTAGTGACGAATAAAGTCTCCTGAGTGGTGACTCAAGTGAATCCGTGTTTTTTTGTTTGTTTTGTTTTGAGACAGGGTCTTACTCTGTCACCCAGGCTGGAGTGCAGTGGCAGGATCACTGCTCACTGCTGCCTCGAACTCCTGTGCTCAAGCAATCCTCCCACCTCCGCCTCCTGAGTAGCTAGGACTACAGGCAAAAGCCTCCACACCTAATTTTTTAAACTTTTTTTGTAGGGACAGAGTCTCCCTATGTTTTCCAAGCTGGTCTCAAACCTCTGGGCTCAAGTGATCCTCCCACCTCCACCTCCCAAAGTGGCTCACGCTGGGATTACAGGCGTGAGCCACTGTGCCTGGCCCTCTTATTCTTAAAAGGGTAGAGATATTGGTAACACATCAAGAATCATTATAATATTAAGCCCTTTCACTCTATATGTACATTTCTAGGAATCTGTCTTAAGAAATTAGTCAAAATTGGCCAGGCACAGTGGCTCACGCCTGTAATCCCAGCACTTTGGGAGGCCGAGGAGGACAGATCACAGGGTCAAGAGTTTGAGACCAGACTGATCAATATGATGAAACCCCGTCTCTACTAAAAATACAAAAGTTAGCTGGGTGTGGTGTTGCGCTCCTGTAGTCCCAAATACTCGGGACGCTGAGGCAGAAGAATCGTTTGAACCCGGAAGGCAGACGTTGCAGTGAGCCAAGATCGTGTCACTGCACTCCAGCCTGGGCGACAGAGTGAGACTCTGTCTCAAAAAAAAAGAAATTAGTCAAAATTGCTAACAGAAATTCATGTGTAAGATATTCAGTGCAGTGATATAGCTGTGTTTCCAAAATACTATAAACAAAACCAAAATGTTCAGTAGGGTATAGTTAAAATGGATTTCTTTTCTTTTTGAGATGGTGTCTCCCTCTGTCTCCCAGGCTGGAGTACAGTGGCGTCATCTCGGCTTACTGCAACCTCGCCTCCCTCCCAGGTTCAAGCAGTTCTCCTGCCTCTGCCTCCCAAGTAGGTGGGACTACAGGTGCATGCCACCATGCCCAGCTAAATTTTTTGTATTTATAGTAGAGACGGGGTTTCACCATGATGGCCAGGCTGGTCTCGAACTTACCTCAAATGATCTGCCTGCCTCGGCCTCCCAAAGTGCTGGGATTACAGGCATGAGCCACCATACCTGGCCTAAAATAAATTTTATGACGAAATATTTTACAGTCTTTAAAAGCATGTTTTAAAATCTCGAATATTAATAATAGGATGTGCTTATTACGCAAAACTAAAAAAGAAAAAGTATAAAATTATTTATGTAATGGGATCTCAATTATATTTTAAAAAATATATATACGCAGAAGCCTGGATAGTGTTAATAGTGGTTCCTTCAGAATGGCAAGATTATGGATAATTATATTGTTTTTTTGAGACAGTCTTACTGTCACCCAGGCTGGAGTGCAGTGGCATGATCTCAGCTGACTGCAACCTCTGCCTCCCAGGTTCAAGCAATTCTCCTGCCTCAGCCTCCTGAGTAGCTGGGATTTGTGTGGCGTGCCACCACACCTGGCTAATTTTTGTAATTTTAGTAGAGACCAGGTTTCACCAAGTTGGCCAGGCTGGTCTTGAACTTGTGACCTCAAGTGATCCACTTGCCTCAGCCTCCCAGAGTGCTAGAATTACAGGTGTGAGCTACCACACCCGGTCATGGATAATTATATTTATACTTTTCCTGTAATAGGAATTTACATACATTGGCATTTACATTATTCTTTTTCTTTTTTTATGTTTGCAGTCTTAGGTTTGTAAGACATTGACTTCTGGCTAGGACAGCACACTTTGTTTAGTTAGAAGGAGTCTAATAAACAGATTTATTGGAGACTTCATTTTGGTTTGTGATAATGATAAGTTATCACTGAATCTTGAGATATATTTATTTAAATTTCTCCTACCTTGTCCTCCTGGAAATTCCTTGGGAAAAGGCAGGAGAGCATGTGAGGAGGGCAGTTGTTCCACATAGGTACAATTGTTTGTGGCATAGAAAGAGGATACAGTGGTTATAACTTAGGTTATTGGGTCAAGATGGCAAAATCTCTGAGTGAGATGTTCTAAATGATGTGTTGACCTCATTTTTCAATTCATTGGTCCTTTATGAAATATATTTTTTAATGTGTGAAGGATAGTTTGAAATGCAAGTATAACACTTAGGTAGAGAAGATGGAATTAACAGTGGAAAACTGACAGGCTTTGGAAACTTTTTAGAATATTAAAGTGGAATCGGGAGAGCCCAGAGGTCCTTTGAATCATCTCTACAGAGAACTTAAATTTCTTCTTGTGAGTATCCTTCCAGAATTCCTTTCCTTCAATCTCATGTTTTTATAAAAATGTATGTTATTGTTGTTTTTACTTAGGTTTGTATTCTTCAAAATTTGTTCAGATGTTATGTATCCATTAGATACTCTGACAGTTTGGGCAGTTTAATTTTACTTATGTGGTAGTTGTCCTTACAATTAACGGGAGCATTAGGTCGTTACTGGCTACATTTCTCTTACCTTTTGTGGTGGTGTTATTTTTTTTTAATTAATTTATTTATTTTTCCATTGTGTGTGGATACACCACATTTTGTTCATTCATCAGTCGATTGACATCTTAGTTGTTTCTATTTTTTGGCTATTATGAATAATGCCTCCATGAACATTTACATACAAGTTTTTGTGTAGACATGTTTTCACATGTCTTGGGTGGAGTTACTAGATCATATGGTAACTGTATATTTACCTTTTGAGGAACTGCCAAAGTATAACTATTGTCCAAAGTGGTTATGTTATTTTATATTTCTTTCAGTAGTATATGAGGGTTCTGATTTCTCTTCATCTTTGTCAACACTTGATATTGTCTGTTTTTTAATTATAGTCATCCTAGCGGTAGTGAAGTGGTATATCTTTGTAGTTTTGATTTCATGTGCTCATTGGCTCCTGCTTATTCTTTTAGCTTAATCTCATACTTTACTTCCATTGCCACTGAACCCCCAACCCTCACCACATCAAGCTCCTTGCTTGTAGCTCAGATCCTGTCATACTCTTATCACCTTCTGGTGTGTGCCTCTTGATCTACCTGGTATGCACTTCTCCTACCTCCTTGCTAGGTGAGCTCTCTATGATAGTTGTACTGATCTCACAGAATGGCTTGTGTTGCTGTAGAACTCCACACATACCTCTTGTCGGTGTGTTTATAAAACACAGTAATTTGTTTCCTTATCTGTCTCCTCTACTAACTTGAGTGCCTGGTTCCCTATTGTGCCCTTACCATCTAGCATAGTACCAACTATTTTTGATACTTTTACTTCCTATGAGTAAGTACTATTTCCCTGTTTTTACAAAACTGATAGTTTTTCTACCTTTCTCACCTTTCTTCTTTCTTGAAAGCCCGTCTTTTAGGACCCTTACTGTGGGCCTCCATCATACTTTTGCCCTCACATCTCTGCCCTTCTCTCTCCACACCCCTGCAGAGAGCTGATCTACTCAGTGATTTAACTGACACCTTTGTGAGCAAGCTCCAAACCCTCATCTTTAGGCTGATAGCACTTCCCATCTTTCTAACTTCCACCACATTATTTCCCACTTGGGTAGAGTTCTATTGCTTCCAGAGTCAGTATGTCAAAAATGAAACTATCTTCTCCAGACTACATCCTCTTTGAAAACGCCCGCATTTCTGTCTGTGGTCCCATCATTCCTTCAGTTTCCTAGGCTAGAAATCTCATATTTCACTTTAGTAAGAACTATTATTTCTGTCACCACTACATACTACTATAGCTAGAAGCTGCCACTCTGCTATGTGCCACGCATGGTGCTAGCTGGTTCAGTTATTTTGCCTGAAGGTGACAAACTGGTGAATGGAAGAGCTGGCACAAATTTATTTAATTGTGTGTTTGCTTAATTCGAGTCTCCCTTAAAAAGCCACAGAATCTTAGATATACATGTGGCCATAGTCTCTCTGTGTTCAACCCCCTATATTTTATAAATGGATAGGATTTTTTCTTTAATTCCACATATACCTTGCTACCCTCCCCCCATACATATACAATTCTTTTTCTCCTTTGAAGTCTCTTTCACTGTGCTCATCTTAGTTAAAATCTTTACCATCTTCTTCTGGGACCACACTAATGATGATTCATTGTTTCTCAACAGGGGCACTATTGGCATTTGGGCAGGAACATTCTTTGTGATTTGAGACCATGGTGCGCACACCAAGATGTTTAACATCTCTGGCCCCCACCAGACTCCATGCCCCAAGTGCTCTTGTACTCCCAGTCATTTATGACAACAAAATTATATTCATATTTTTCTTTCTTTTTTTTTTTTTTTTTAGACGGAGTCTCACTCTGTCACCCAGCCTGGAGTGCAGTGGTGCTCACTACAACCTCCGCCTCCCAGGTTCAAGTGATTTTCCTGCCTCAGCCTCCCCAGTAGCTGGGATTACAGGTACCCACCACCACGCCCAGCTAATTATTTTGTTTTTTTAGTGCAGGTTTGCACTAAAATACAGCGTGGATTGCCCCATTGGCTAGGCTGGTCTTGAACTCCTGACCTCAAGTGATCCACCCGCCTCAGCCACCCAAAGTGCTGGGATTATAGGCATGAGCCACCATGCTCAGCCATCTTCATATTTTTCTAAAGACCTCCCCCGGGGAGTGGGAGGTGATAGCATTTCAACTGGGAAATGTTGTATTTTCTCTTTCCTAGGAATCCATCCTTGGTACTTCTGATAGAGAAATTCTTAACTAGATCATGTCATTTTCCTGCCAAAAAAATCAACATTGGCTGTTTTCTGCCTATGAAACTGAAAAACTTTTGAAGATCCCTTAATGGTTTAGCTGCTGTTTATTCTAATTCTATTTCCTGCTGCTTCTTTGTTGCTTTTTCTACCCTGGTTGGGATCATACCATCCTCTTCATCTTATTTCATGCCGTTTTCCTGCTAGCCTATGGTTCCCACATTTGAGTTGCAACTGAAGTTCCACGTTGTTTCACTGGCTATTGCAGCCTAACTTGACTGCTTTTTCTTAAGTCTATTGACATATTGTATGTACATACACATTTTTATATTTTAATATAAACTTCCACTTACTATTTACATTTATTCATCCCCAGACTATTTCATTTGTCTTATCTGTCTGTCTTTGCCAAAGTTACAAGCATCTCCAGGGCAAACCCAGTATCCTCTGTAGCACCTATGCACTTGGCATCATTGTTCAGAGCACCATCTTTGGGATCAGACCATGGAGTATATGTCCTGACTCTGTCAGTTACTAATTGTGTGACCATGAGCAAGTTACTGAATCTCTCTTAGCCTCAGTAAGATGAGAATAATAGTATTATCTACCGTAGAGTTTTGTTAGGATTAAATAACATGTACTATATATAAAGCACCACAGCAGTACCTGGGATGTGATAAACACTCAAGAAATGTTACTGCAATTAATATTTTTATTACATACATCCTTATTGATTAAACAGTGTTTTCTGCTAACAAGTTTTTGGGGTTTTTAAATCTCCCGTAGGTTTTGGCTGATGGTTTGAGGACTGGTGTCACTGAATGGCTCGAGCCTCTGGAAGCAAAATCTGCTGTTGAACTTGTGCAGGAATTTCTGAATGGTGTATTACTTGTTTTTATTCATTGAGAATTTATACTTGCTTTGTTTAAATATAAGTTTCTCTTTAAGCTTGATATTCTTTTTTGATTGGAATGTATACAAAGCTATGAGATCTGTAATGGTCAGAGGAACAGCTTTTGTTCTGAATTGCTGATGGTAGAGAGCTAAGTAATCCTAAGAATTAATAAAATTTAATTTATGTTTGAGATTGAAGGAAAAAGGAGATGAAACAGTAGCCTCTGTATACCTAGCACGTGCCTGATGCCAGGTGTCAGGGGCTTTTCTGTTACCTCGGTTCATCTTCACACCCCCACCTGAGGGGTATCTATTATAGTCTCCACCAGAGAGTTCAGTGATTTGCTAAAATCCTCAGTTATGCTTCTACTGTCCCCATTTACCATTTGAAAATAGGATTAGGATGGAAATAATTTGGAAAGCAGAAAAATCAAGAGCTAATACACTTCTGCCACTTTCTAGACTTAAATAAGCTGGATGGATTTGGTGATTCTACAAAAAAAGACACTGAGGTTGAGGTAAGTGATTATTATCAGTTAGAAATAGACACAGAAATAGCTTTTAAAATTCAGTTATGCCGACGTCTTTCATGTTGTACCATTGCAAATGGATTTGGTATATCAAGGCAGCATTTAGGGAGAATTTTTTTTTTTTTTTTTTTAACTTTAAGTTCTAGGGTACATGTGCACAACGTGCAGGTTTGTTACATGTGTATACATGTGCCATGTTGGTGTGCTGCACCCGTTAACTCGTCATTTACATTAGGTATATCTCCTAATGCTACCCTCCCCCCTCCCCCACCCCCAGCAGGCCCCAGTGTGTGACATTCCCCACCCTGTGTCCATGTGTTCTCATTGTTCAGTTCCCACCTATGAGTGAGAACATGCAGTATTTGGTTTTCTGTCCTTGTGATAGTTTGCTCAGAATGATGTTTTCCAGCTTCACCCATGTCCCTATAAAGGACAAGAACTCATCCTTTTTTATGGCTGCATAGTATTCCATGGTGTATATGTGCCACATTTTCTTAATCCAGTCTATCAATGATGGACATTTGGGTTGGTTCTAAGTCTTTACTGTTGTGAATAGTGCCGCGGTAAACATGTGTGTGTGTGTCTTTATAGCAGCATGATTTATAATCTTTTGGGTATATGCCCAGTAATGGGATTGCTGGGTCAAATGGTATTTCTAGTTCTAGATCCTTGAGGAATTGCCACACTGTCTTCCACAATGGTTGAACTAGTTTACACTCCCACCAACAGTGTAAAAGCGTTCCTATTTCTCCACATCCTCTCCAGCACCTGTTGTTTCCTGACTTTTTAATGATCGCCATTCTAACTGGTGTGAGATGGTATCTCATTGTGGTTTTGATTTGCATTTCTCTGATGGCCAGTGATGATGTTAGGGGGAATTTCTGTTGATCTTTATTGTCAGCACTGGTTATTGTTTTCCTTAAGAACTAATAAATATTTTAATTTAATTTTATTATTATTATTATTTTTTGAGACAAGGTCTTGCTCTGTCACCCAGGCTGGAATACAGTGACTCCATCACGGCTCACTGCAGCTTTGACCTCCAGGGCTCAAGCGATCCTCCCACCTCAGGTCCTTGAGTAGCTGGGACTACTGGTGTGGACCACCATGTCTGGCTAATTTTTTAATTTTTTGTAGAGATGGGGGTCTCACTATATTGCCTAGGCTGGTCTTGAACTCGTGGGCTCAAGCAGTCCACCTGCGTTGGCCTCCCAAAGTGCTGAGATTACAGGCATAGCCACTGCCTGGCCAGAACTGATAAATATTTTTGAAGAGAACTGATATATATGTATTATTAGTTGCTCAATTGCAGAGAAGTAGAAATGAACATGTTAATATTACTGTAAGATGACTCTACCATCATATATTGGTATACTATAAGATCATACTGTTAAACTAGATATATTCTCATCTGACAAATAGGAAAATGGAGACCAAGGTAATTTAATTATTTTTTTTACACGAAAGGAAAGCTGAATGCTCACTTTTAGGCGTTATAGTTTTAAAACAATATTAAGGGTCTTGTTTTTCACTGTTGATTTGTATCTCATTAGTGAATGAAGTTGTAGAAAATGCATTCATATCTTTGTGTGTGTTCATGAATCCATAATTTCTCAGAGCAGCATTTGAAGGCTTAAATTATTTCACTTAAAAAAAAAAACTGAGTATTCTCTGAAGCTTGCCTTTTTTTCAGACAGTGAAGCATGACACTGCTGCAGTCGATCGTTCCGTCAAGCGTCTTTTCAAAGCTCGGAGTGATCTTGATTTTGCTGAGCAACTGTGGTGCAAAATGAGCAGTAGTAGGTGTTCATCATTATTTAAATGTTTCCTCTTATTTCTTAGGTTTATTTTTAAGTCCTTTGGAAATACTACAGTGTGTACCACTAGTCTTGTGGGGAAGTCTGGTTCTTAACTTTATCTAATTCATTTCTAATGATACATTGGTACATTCTGTGTAAGAATTGTACTAAGACAAAGTAATTTGTAGAATTATCCTTTTCTCCTGCCTTTTTAAGTATAAGACTTAGGTAATTTTCATGCTCTATTTATGTGAACCAAAACATATACCTTACTGAAATTATAATTATTATAAAAAGGAAAAGATATTCTTTAGTATTTTACTAAGCGTGTTATTTTTTGGCAATCTGAGTTTGATTTCTTTCTTTAGAAATGCATTAAATCTTTTTTTTTTTTTTGCCACTTTAATTTATTTCCCTTTCCCCTACCCATAAAGTACAGATTCTTGCTTTCTACTTCATTTGTGTATCCTTAAGATCAACGATATTTTTGATCTGTAGAAATACCCTGAAAATAATGTTACACTGACTTGTTTTCCAAGGTGTGATTTCATACCAAGACTTGGTGAAGTGTTTCACATTGATCATCCAGAGTCTACAACGTGGTGATATACAGCCATGGGTAGGTTTCGTAGTGTGTGTCAGATCATTTTCTCAGCAGCATGGCATGATAGTTAAAGACACAGGCTCTGAAGCCGACGGCCTGAGTCTGAATTTCAGCTCTGCTACTTTCTAGCGGTGTCAAGTTGGCCAGGTTCCTTTACTTTTCTGTGTCCCAACATCCTCATCTGTAAAGTAAAGGTAAGAATAGTATCTACCTCGTAGTGTTCCAGGATTGACTAATGTTATCCATGTAACGCACCTAGTGCCTAGCTCATAGTTAAGTGCCCAGTGTGTGTAAACTACTAATATTGTCATTGTTAAGTGTTGCTGTGAATGAGTATTCTCATACACTACTGATGAAAATGCAAATTGGGATGTTCTCTAAAAAGCAATTTTGGTAATGTATTGAGATCCTCACAATGTATCATGGCCTTTGAACCAAGAATTCTTTTGTTAGGATGTACCCTAAGCTCATACACATAAATATATATCAAGACTTTATGTATCAGAATAGTCATCACAGCCTCATTTATATTGGCATAAAATTTTAAATGACCTAAATTTCCCTTGCTAATGGAATGGCTAAGTAAATAATGATATAGCTATATATGGCACATGTAGTAGTTGCTGAAAAAATGATGCTGACAAATGATATGGAGAAATGCTTAACAATATTCAATAAAAAGTAATATACACAATTATGTGAATGTAACTTTTGGAGAGAAAAATATGGAAACAAATATGCTAAAAATCTTAAGAGCAGTCACCTCTGGTAGAAGGGTTACAGATGACTTTTTCCAGTCAAGCGCAGTGACTCACACCTGTAATTCCAACTCTTGGTAGACTGAGGCTGGCAGATCACTTGAGGTCAGGAGCTCAAGACCAGCCTGGTCAATATGGTGAAACCCCGCCTCTACTGAAAATCAAAAAAATTAGCCGGGCATAGTGGCAGGCACCTGTAATCCGAGATACTCAGGAGTCTGAGGCAGGAGAATTGCTTGAACCTAGGAGGCGGAGGTTGCAGTGAGCTGAGATTGCACCGCTCCACTCCAGCCTGAGCAACAGAGTAAGACTCCGCCTCAAAAAAAAAAAAAGATTTTTTCCAACTGTGTTATATCTATTTTATGAATTTTCCACAATGAATTTGTGCTATTTTTATAGTCAAGAAAAATCTAGGTAAAAAGTTAAAAACAAAAAGATTTTTAATAGGAATTACTTTAGATAATATGACTGCCAATTCATAATTATAAAAGTTATAAACTTTTATACGTGTGAACAAAGGTACATTCCAGAGTAAAGGCGTGCAAGCTCTGCTTAATTGGGTATTAGTGATTCTAGACATTTTAGTTTTAGCCATTGAATTTTTCTCTTGAGAGTTTCTGTGTTCATGAGATGTTTACAAGTATAACCTTACCATGTACTGAGTGCAAACAAAGTGAAACTATTTATGTATATATTGTAAAAAGACCTTGCAAAGATTATGATGAAAATTAAAGTAGAGAAATAGAAAGTAGTGCGAAAATGACAGATATTTTATATGTACCTAAAATGAATTAACATTTGGAACACATATTAAATTGTAAATTCACAGCTCTTTTTAATTTACAAATTATCAGGTTCGTATGTTGGATATTGTAGCCAATGAGGAGTTCCTTATGAACATGCATGGACCATTGAGGGAGTTTGTTTTACTGCAGCAACAGATTTGTGGTGTAGATGAAGATGTTCAGTTGTGGAAAAGATGCCCAATAGCACTTAAATCAGCCAGGAGAAGAGAATTCCTAGTTGTAAAATTTCTTTTCTTTTTTTTTTTTTTTTTTTTTTTTTTGAGACGGAGTCTTGCTCTGTTGCCCAGGCTGGAGTGCAGTGGCACAATCTTGGCTCACTGCAAGCTCCGCCTCCCAGGTTCATGCCATTCTCCTGCCTCAGCCTCCCGAGTAGCTGGGACTACAGGCACCCGCTACCATGACTGGCTAATTTATTCTATTTTTTAGTAGAGACAGGGTTTCACTGTGTTAGCCAGGATGGTCTCGATCTCCTGCCCTCGTGATCCGCCCGCCTCGGCCTCCCAAAGTGCTGGGATTACAGGCGTGAGCCACCGGGCCCGGCCTAGTTGTAAAATTTCAGAGGAACAACTCTGGCTTCTCTTTGGTGGAATTGTATCTGGGGATGATAAGTTTAAACCCTTCTTAGTTGCTTTGAACTTAATCAAATGAGATAGGAATGGTATTTTATTTTATTTATTTTATTTTATTTTATTTATTTTTTGAGATGGAGTCTCACTCTGTTGCCCAGGCTGGAGTGCAGTGGCACAATCTTGGCTCACTGCAAGCTCCGCCTCCCAGGTTCATGCCATTCTCCTGCCTCAGCCTCCCGAGTAGCTGGGACTACAGGCACCCGCTACCATGACTGGCTAATTTATTCTATTTTTTAGTAGAGACAGGGTTTCACTGTGTTAGCCAGGATGGTCTCGATCTCCTGACCTCGTGATCTGCCTGCCTCAGCCTCCCAAACTACTGGGATTACAGGTGTGAGCCACCAGGCCTGGCCTATTTTTTTAAAGTATTTATTTATTTATTTATTTATTATTTATTTTTATTTTTTTGAGCCAGAGTCTTGCTCTGTTGCCCAGGCTAGAGTGCAGTGGTGTAATCTCAGCTCACTGCAGTCTCTGCCTGTCAGGCTCAAGCTATTCTCCTGCCTCAGCCTCCCAAGCTGGGACTATAGGCGCTCCCTACCATGCCCAGTTAATTTTTAATATATATATATAATTATTATTACTATTATTATTATTTGAGACAGAGTCTCACTCTGTTGTCCAGGCTGGAGTGCAGTGGCGCAATCTCGGCTCACTGCAACCTCTGCCCTCCCGGGTTCAAACGATTCGCCCCAGTAGCTGGGGCTACAGGTGCATACCACCACACCTGGCTAATGTTTTGTGTTTAGTAGAGACAGGGTTTCACCGAGGTAGCCAGATGGTCTCGATCTCCTGACCTCATGATCCGCCTGCCTCGGCCTCCCAAAGTGTTGGGATTACAGGTGTGAGCCACCATGCCCGGCCAATTTTGTATTTTTATTAGAGATGGGGTTTCACCATGTTGTCCAGGCTGGTCTCAAATTCCTGACCTCAAGTGATCTGCCCTTCCCAGCCTCCCAAGTGCTGGAATTACAGGTGTGAGCCGCTGCGCCCAGTCCCAGGAATGGAATTTTAAAAACTGACATTCAGGCTGGGCGCCGTGGCTTACCCCTGTAATCCCAGCACTTTGGGAGGCCGAGGCGGGCGGATCATGAGGTCAGGAGTTTGAGACCAGCCTGGCCAACATGGTGAAACCCCATCTCTACTAAAAATACAAAAATTAGCCAGGCGTGGTGGCATGCTCCTGTAAGCCCAGCTACTCAGGAGGCTAAAGCAGGAGAATAGCTTGAACCCAAGAGGCGGAGGTTGCTGTAAGCCAAGATCGTGCCACTGCACTCCAGCCTGGGCGACAGAGCAAGACTGTCAAAAAAAAAAAAAAAAAAACTGACGTTCATAACTTGGGGGGTTTTGTTCAAACAGTTTATAGTCTTAGGAGACTAAGAATGCAAGCTTATAATTTTTAGCTTGCAGCTACTGTAATTTGCTTCTTTTTTGCTTGCTGGGTTTGTGTATGTATTTATTCATGGTTTTATAAAATTTCGTTGATTTCTAGCTCCATAGTGGAAGTAACAGTTTACTAAGTAAGCTCATTCATCAGTCTTATCATGGAACCATGGACACAGTTTCTCTCAGTGGGACTACTCCAGTTCAAATGCTTTTGGAAATTGGTTTGGACAAACTAAAGAAAGATTATATCAGTTTTTTCATAGGTAAGTCTCTTTCCTGGCTCAAAAAATTAAAAAACACATCACAGTTACCACTCACAGATACTCTCAGATTTTCTCTCTCTGCTTGCCCCTCATCATCTGTAGTCCTTCCTGACTTCGTACCTGGTTCACTATGAGACGAGCATTTCCCATCTCTGGGCCTTAGTTTCCCCCCAATAAAGATATCAAATTCATTATATCCATAGTTCTTGATAATTTATTTGTTTTTAGTTCAAACATTTGAGGTTCTATGAAGTTAGTATTGTAAATAAAATGTTCCTTTTTTGAGAGGCTGTTTTAATACTCCACACTTGGTTGTTTTTATGAGGAAGAAGCTGTGATCATTTTTAGAATAAGTATTAGTATCTATTTATGGTATAATATAACAGAAAACTTGGCCTTTTGTGAGGAACTACTTAGCTTGACAATCTCTTTCATATAGGATGTATAGATTCCTTAACATGTAATAGAAAATACCTGAAGTGTTTTTGCATGTATGTGTTTTTTCTTAATAGGTCAGGAACTTGCATCTTTGAATCATTTGGTGAGTTTTTTTAATTCTAAAATTGGTTTTTCTTTTATTCAGTCACTCTGTGTGTAGTTATTAACTGCCAATAATATGCCAGCCACTCTCCTAGATCCTAGGAAACAGATAAATAAGAAAAGTCAGTGCCCTTAATTATTACTGCGTAGTAAGATAGACAAAAAAGTAGCCCATTCAATGTCATTTCTCACTGTCTATAAATTTGTGATACTTATATATAGTTATATCCTACTCAAGCCAATGTACTACCACACATCTCATCTATCTAGAATGGTTAGGGAATGCCTTTCTTTGATAGGTTCTGTAAAGCAATGTTTGTTTTATATTCTTCTTATCCATTTATATTACACTTGAAAGTTTATTTTCCAAAAAATATATAATCTTTAATATATACTTCTGGGCTTCAGGGTCATCATTATGAACTTCGTTGTATTTTCCTAGCCCATTTAGAAACTTTAGAAGGTTGACTACTGTCTGTAATGATCTTTGACGTTCATTGGAAGATCCTTTTGAAAATGAATTTATGGTATCAATTTGTTTATCATTTCTCTCTTATGAAAATACAAGATAGAAAAACTAGCTGTATCTGTTGTGCAAAATAGACTCAACTGGATCCTTCTGAGGTTTAATTTTTACTATTCAAATTTTAAACATTTTATTAAGGGTATATATTTTTAGTGGAAACATGTTCTAACAAAAACTACATACACATACACACACATTTGTTCCTCCATGTCTGTGGGTTCTGCATCCATGGATTCAACCAACTGCAGATTGAAAACGTTTAAAAAAAGAAAATAGGCTGGGCACAGTGGCTCCCACCTGTAATCTCAACACTTTGGGAGGATCACTTGAGCCCAGGAGTGTGAGATCAGCCTGGGTAACACGGGGAGATTCCACCTCTACAAAAATAAAAAACTTAGCCAGGCATGGTTGTCTGTGCCTGTGATCCCAGCTACTTTGGGAGGCTGAGGTAGGAAGCTCACTTGAGCGGGGGAAGTTGAAGCTGCAGTGAGCTGTGATCATGGGCTACTTTTTTGTCTATCTGCACTCCAGCATTGGTGACAGAGCAAGACCCTGTCTCAAGAAAAGGGATGATTATGTCTGTACTGAGTATGTGTGGACTTCTTGTCATTATTCTCTTTTTTTTTTTTTTTGTCATTCTCTAAACAGTAAGTGTAACAACTGTTTATGTGGATCTACGTTGTATTAGGCATTACAAGTAATCTAGAAGTGAAGTAATATAGAAGTGATTTAAAGTATACGGGAGGGTGTGCATAGGTTATATGCAAATATTATACTATTTTATATAAGGGACTTGAGTATCCATGGATTTTGGTATACGAGGGGGATCCTGGTACCAATCCTCCATGGATACCAATGGACAACTGTATCTGTATATACAGTCATGCTTCACTTAATGATGGGGATACATTCTGAGAAATGTGTCATTTTTTAAAATGTGTCATTAAGTGATTTCTTTATTGTTCAAATTTCAGGGAGTGGCATAAACAAACTTAGATGGTATAACCTACTGCACACCTAGACTATAAACCTGTACAGCATTTTTTTTTTTTTTTTTTTGAGATGGAGTGTCACTCTGTCACCCAGGCTGGAGTGCAGTGGCCGGATCTCAGCTCACTGCAAGCTCCGCCTCCCGGGTTTAGCCATTCTCCTGCCTCAGCCTCCCGAGTAGCTGGGACTACAGGCGCCCACCACCTCGCCCGGCTAGTTTTTTGTATTTTTTAGTAGAGATGGGGTTTCACCATGTTAGCCAGGATGGTCTCGATCTCCTGACCTCGTGATCCGCCCGTCTCGGCCTCCCAAAGTGCTGGGATTACAGGCTTGAGCCACCGCGCTCGGCCTGTACAGCATATTTTTGTACTGAATACTGTAGGTAATTGTAACATAATGGTATTTGTGTATCTAAACATAGAAGGGGTACAGTAAAAATAACGTATAAAAGATAAAAACGTGGATACCTGTACAGGGCACTTACCATGAATGGAGCTTGCAGGACTGGAAGTTGCTCTGGGTGAGTCAGTGAGTGAGTGGTGAGTGAAAGTGAAGGTGTAGAACATTGCTGTACTCTACTGTAGACTATAAACACTGTACACTTAGGCTACACCAAATTTATTTAAAAATTTGTTTCTTCAATAAAAAATTAACCATAACTTACTATAACTTTTTTACATTATAAACTTTTAAATTTTTCTAAACTTTTGATTTTTTTATAACACTTAGAAACACATTGTATAGGTATACAAAAATATTTTTTCTTTATATTCTTATTCTATGAGCTTTTTTCTATTTTTAACTTTTTTTATGTTTTAAATTTATTTGTTAAAAACTAAGACATAGACACACATATTAGCCTAGGCCTACACAGGGTCAGGATCATTAGTATCACTGTCTTCCGCCTCCACATCTTGTCCCACTGGAAGCTCTCCAGGAGCAAGAACACACATGGAACTGTTACCACCTACGAGAACAGTGCCTTCTGGAATACCTCCTGAAACATCTGCCTGAGGCTCTTTTTGAGGAATAGTTTTGTTCATACCAATATCACAGCAAACAAGGGAATAATGCATTGCACTCCATTACAGCTACAAAGTCACTACTAGGCGAGAGGGATTTTTCATTTCTATTGTGATCTTATAAGACCACTGTAGGCTGGGCGCAGTGGCTCATGCCTGTAATCCCAGCACTTTGGGAGGCCGAAGTGGGCAGATCACTTGAGGTCAGGAGTTCGAGACCAGCCTGGCCAACATGGTGAATTCCCGTCTCTAGTAAAAATACAAAAATTAACTGGGTATGGTGGTGCACGCCTGTGATCCCAGCTACTCAGGAGGCTAAGGCGGGAGAATCACTTGAATCCGGGAGGTGGAGGTTGCAGTGAGCCAAGATCACACCATGGCACTCCAACCTAGGTGGCAGAGTGAGACCCTGTCTCAAAAAACAAAATAAAACAAAATAAAAAAGTCCACTATAATATGTGTGATCCATTGTTGACTCAAACACAGTTATATTGTGCATGACTGTAATTTATTTTGAATAATAGTATTGAAAGGTGGGAAATTCTATCTAGCTGCTTTTGGTCTTTTTTTTTTTTTTTTTTGAGACGGAGTCTCGCTCTGTCGCCCAGGCTGGAGTGCAGTGGCCGGATCTCAGCTCACTGCAAGCTCCGCCTCCCGGGTTCACGCCATTCTCCGGCCTCAGCCTCCCGAGTAGCTGGGACTACAGGCACCCGCCACCTCGCCCGGCTAGTTTTTTGTATTTCTTAATAGAGACGGGGGTTTCACCGTGTTAGCCAGGATGGTCTCGATCTCCTGACCTCCTGATCCGCCCGTCTCGGCCTCCCAAAGTGCTGGGATTACAGGCTTGAGCCACCGCGCCCGGCTGTCTTTTTTTTTTTTAAATCCCTATTATCAAGCATCCAAATTTAGGTGTAGCAGGCATATGTATATTCTTTACAAAGGTTATACTAGTGCTTTAAATCTCTATTTTGCTTATATTTTTTCATTCCAGGAATACTTCATTGCTCCATCAGTAGATATACAAGAACAGGTTTATCGTGTCCAAAAACTCCACCATATTCTAGAAATATTAGTCAGTTGCATGCCTTTCATTAAATCTCAACATGAACTCCTCTTTTCATTAACACAGTAAGTATATCTGTATTCTTTACTTATATATAAATGTATTTCTTTTGAAATAGTTGCAGCCTAAATATGTGCAGTTTTTATTACCAATTAGGATAGAACCTCTTCATCCTGTCTTTACAGTAGCATGAGTCTAAGTCAGTGCCATAGGCAGGAAAGGCTTTGGATTCAAAAGGAATCAGATTTGACATTGGCTGCATCACTTCCTAACTTCCTTAGGAAGTTTCCATCATTGAATCCTGTTTCCTCATCTGTAAAAAGGATCTAATAACCTCATGTATTTGTTGGAAGGATGAAATTATGTAATGTGTATAACATACCTGATACTTAATAGGTGCTTAATAAACACTAGTTCCTTCTCTTCTTTATACCCCTGTCAATTTGGGTCAAAATAGCCTTGCCAGCCATCTAAATGATAATAGTGGAATCAAATAGATTACTAGACCTCTGTCAGTAGCCCTGCTGCAATTGTAGAGACTGCTGTAATTTAAGATTCCAATTAGTTTGACTAGAGGTTATTTGGAATAATTCTCAGACACAGACTGCTGGTATCTTATGTGTATTTGAGGCCTCAAATTAGGAAATGAACTGTCCAGTGGAAGGACTGGGTTTCTTTTCCCTCTGGAAGGAAATGTACCATTACATTTTCCAAAATTAGAATTTGCCAGCTGGGCGCGGTAGCTCACGCCTGTAATCCCAGCACTTTGGGAGGCCTAGATGGGTGGATCACGAGGTCAGGAGCTCGAGACCAGCCTGGCCAACATGGTGAAACCCCATCTCTACTAAAAATACAAAAAATTATCTGAGCATGGTGGCATGCGCCTGTAATCCCAGCTACTCGGGAGGCTGGGGCAGGAGAATTGCTTGAACCCGGGAGGCGGAGGTTGCAGTGAGCCAAGATCGCGCCACTGCACTCCAGCCTGGGCGGCAGGGTGAGATCCACCTCAAAAAAAAAAGAAAAAATTAGAATTTGCCTCAGTTGTAGAGGGGCAAGTTTGAAATTGTTATTGTTTATAGAATCTCAAAGGTTTTTTTTTTTTTTTTTTGCCCATTATAGATCATTGGAATGAATGAGTTAACTGTAATTCTTTGGACTCTGAAAACCATGGAAGCTGTACTTTTGTTTCTCTTCTGCCTCTTTTTTGTATTGTTTTTCTCTTTCTGTAACCTCTCTCCCCATGAAGCCTTTCTTTGGCCTCAAATATATTTTATATTTATGAGAAATATGTCTATTAATTTTTAAAAAGTGAATGAGATTTGTTTTCAAAGAAAAAAACATAAACTAAGTTTGGTTTGGGGGGTTGTTTTGTTTGTTTACTTTTGTGGCTCTAAAAGTATTCCCTGATGTTTTAGTTAGTAGTACTCAATAAAATGTTTCCCTTACGAGCTTTCGACTACTAGAAAACCATTATCTCAAATGGCTCTTTTTTCCAAAGGAGGTTCAATTTTGTTTTTTCAGGATCTGCATAAAATATTACAAACAAAATCCTCTTGATGAGCAACACATTTTTCAGCTGCCAGTCAGACCAACTGCTGTAAAGAACTTATATCAAAGGTAAGCAGTTTTGGCTAGGTGTGGTGGCTCATGCTGGTAATCCTAGCACTGTGGGAGGCTGAGGTGGGAGGATAACTTGAGCTCAGGAGTTCAAGACCAACCTGGGCAACATAATGAGACCCTGTCTCTATTAACAAATAATAATAGCTGGGCGTGGTGGCTCACGCCTGTAATCCCAGCATTGCCTGGGAGGCTGAGGCAGGTGGATCCCCTGAGGTCAGGAGTTCGAGACCAGCCTGGCCAACATGGTGAAACCCCATCTCTCCTAAAAATACAAAAATTAGCCAGGTGTGGTGGCATGCACCTGTAATCCCAGCTACTTGGGAGGCTGAGACAGGAGAATCACTTAAACCTAGGGTGCAGAGGTTGCAGTGAGCCGAGATCATGCCGTTGCATTCCAGCCTGGGCAACAAAAGCGAAACTCCGTCTCGATAATAATAATACCAGCCATGATCCCAGGCAAGATTTCAGTGTTCACATTCAGTAGGGACCTCGTGACCCAGAGCTTTGTCACCTCTGAAACCTTAATCATCTGTGACCATAGTCTGACAGAGTTCTCCCTCTTCCTTCTCTCAGACCTCTCTCTAGACCGTTGGGCCTCTAGTCTTTCATTTTTCTCTGTATTTGTTATTCCTTCAGAGAAGAGTGGAAAGTATAGCCCGAAAGGAAATGACAGATGAGGAGAAAAATGGCCAGGATAGTGATAATAGGGTCCAGGGTATAACTGTGGGAGTGAGAGAAGGGTTTGGGATTAGAGAAAGTATGGTGAGGCTGAGATGATAGATTGTTCATCCACATGGACACTGAGGTTACCTCCAGTGAGGGTCTCCCTGACTCTTCTCTCAGCATATGATATACTTGAAATTTCTCTCATACTACAGCCACTCTATTTAGTTCGTTCTTAGTCAAAACTCCCATCATTCCCCCTGAAATTGCTCTGGCAAAGGTCACCAATGGCCTTCTAATTGTCAAAGCCAGTGGATGCATTTCAGTAAAAGATTATTTTCTATCTAGCACCTTGTGTAATTGGTTGGCCCACCAATTCTTCCTACTTCAGTAAGCACTTTTTTTGTTTGTTTGTTTGAGGGAGAGTTTTGCTCTTGTTGCCCAGGCTAGAGTGCAGTGGCGCAATCTCAGCTCACTGCAACCACCGCCTTCTGGTTTCAAGTGATTCTCCTGCCTCAGCCTCTGAAGTAGCTGGGATTACAGGCACCTGCCACCACACCTGGCTAATTTTTGTATTTTTAGTAGAGACGGGGTTTCACCGTGTTGGCCGGGCTGGTCTCTTAACTCCTGACGTCGTAATCCGCCCACCATGGCCTCATAAAGTGCTGGGATTACAGGTGTGAGCCACCACACCCGGCCTACTTCAGTAAGCACTTATAAGGCTGTTTGGCATTTAGCACTATTGCTTTCTTGAACCTGTCTCCTTAGTTTCTGTGACATAGCATCTGTCTTCATTTGATTTCTACCTCTCTGGCCCACCTGAAAGGCTGAGAAGAGTTCTCTTTTCAAGTTGTTCTTCCTCTGCCGCTTTTCACCAGGACTCTACCCTCTGCCTTCTTTTCTTATTACTTCCTATCTTCCCTTGGTGATTGCATTTATTCTCAAGGCTTCAACTCATCTAGGCGAACGATAATTCATAACTCACACCTCCAGCTTCTCTGAGCTTCAGACCCATTTTTCTAAAAGCTTATTAGCTGAGAATCCCCAGCTTATTGAAGTAGCAGTTCAAACTGTCAAGCCAAACACCTCATCTCTTTCTCAGTGCTTTTTCCTCCTCCCATACTTCGTCTCTCAAATGACCATCATTAATCTCTACCTAATGCCCAAAACATAAAGCTAGTGCTTATCCTCCACTCATTCCTCATTCCTTTAAATGGTTACCGACAGCCTGGGCAACATGGTAAAACCCTATCTCTACAAAAAAGTATAAAAATTAGCCAGGCATGGTGGCATGCACTTGTAGTCCCAGCTACTAGGGAGGCTGAGGTGGGAGGATTGCCTGAGGCCTGGAGGTCGAGGCTGTAGTGAACTGTGATCACGCCACTGCACTGCAGCCTGGGTGACAGAGCAAGATCCTGTCTCAAAAAAAGAAAAAAAGATTACTGAGTCTAGACCTTGGTAACTCTAGAATTTGTCCCCTTCTCTACATCTTCACATCATCATAATTTTGTTTCACATCCGAATCATTTCATACCTGGACTGTGGTAAAACCCTTTTTCCTAACTGTGCTCTCTGCGTCTGTTATCTTTTCTATGTCATTGCCAAAATGATCTTCCTAAAAGTTCAGATCCCACCAGGACTTCCTCCTGTTTAAATGGCTCCTATCACAGGGATGCTCTGTTACTGCATTTCTTCAGACATTCTTCTCTTTTAACCCTCGGTGCCTACTCATGCTTCGTTCCTTCATCCTGGACCTTATCTGCCTGACTAACTCCTTGTTATTTCATACTCAGCTCACACATTACAGCCTCTAAGGATTCTTTCCAACTCTGCAATCCCCAATCTGAGTTATATTCCTGTCTTCTGTTTTCCCCTAACATACCTAGTATTTCTCTCTTGTAGCATTTTTTTTTTCCACACTGTTACTTTTATTCTTGTTTTTCTCCCTCTCTTGACTATACACCTCAAGGGCGAGAATTGTGACCCATTTACCTCTTTGTCCTCAGTGCTTATCACTTGAGGACTTCACTAAATGGCTTTAGAGGGAAGGAAGAAAATTACTGTTTTTGACAATTTTTCTTTTGTTGTTTTATTCTTTCCTTAGTGAGAAGCCACAGAAATGGAGAGTGGAAATATATAGTGGTCAAAAGAAGGTTAAGACAGTTTGGCAACTGAGTGACAGCTCACCCGTAGACCATCTGAATTTTCACAAACCTGGTAAAGATGGTTTATAATCTGTTCAGATAAATAATTCCAATAGAAAATAAACTAAGTCTGGCTGGGCACAGTGGCTCACACCTGTAATCCCAGCACTTTGGGAGGCCGGGGCGGGCAGATTGTCTGAGCTCAGGAATTTGAGACCAGCCTGGCCAACATGGTGAAACCCCATCTCTACTAAAAATGCAAAAAATTAGCCAGGCATGGTTGCATGTGCCTATAGTCCCAACTACTCAGGTGACTAAGGTACAAGAATTCCTTGAACCCAGGAGGTGGAGGTTGCAGTGAGCTGAGATCATGCCACTGTACTCCAGCCTGGGCGACAGAGTGAGACTCTGCCTCCAAAAAAAGAAAAAGAAAATAAATCTTACTGGAATGGATTGTTATTATAGCTCTTGTGTGCCCAGTTTTTTTTTCTTTTTTTTTTGAGATGAAGTCTTGCCCTGTTGCCCAGGCTGGAGTGCAATAGTGTGATCTTGGCTCACTGCAACCTCTGCCTCCTGAGTTCAAGTGATTTTCCTGCCTCAGCCTCCCAAGTAGCTGGGATTACAGGTACCCGCTACCACACCCAGCTAATATTTTATGTCTTTAGTAGAGACGGGTTTTACCATGTTGGCCAGGCTGGTCTCAAACTCCTGACCTCATGATCTGCCTGTCTTGGCCTCCCAAAATGCTGGGATTACAGGTGTGAGCCGCCACTCCCGGCCTGGGTCCAGTTTTAAGTAATTTTCCTGAACTCTAAGTGTAAAACATATTCTTTAAAAAAGAAAACTGCTTGGCCCGGTGGTTCAAGCCTGTAATCCCAGCACTTTGGGAGGCTGAGGCGGGTGGATCACTTTGAGCTCAGGAATTAGAGACCAGCCTGGGCAACATGGAGAAACCCCACCTCTACAAAAAGAAAATACAAAAATTAACCGGGTGTTGGTGACTTGTTCCTGTAGTTACAGCTACTCAGGAGGCTGAGGCTGGAGAGTCACATGAACCCAGGAAGTGGAGGTTGCAGTGAGCCGATCGCACCACTGCAGTGTAGCCGGGGCAACAGAGTGAAACCCTGTCTCAGAAACACACCACACAGCCACATGCACACGCACACAGAACTATCATGATTTTTATAAAACTGTAATACCCAGAAACATTTAGTGTATTATAATCACAAAAGAATGCTTTTTCTCCTTATCTTGTATAGAGGAACTTTTACTAAAAGAGATCAAGCAATGTGGACATAGGAGTAAAAATAGGTTGTAAGATGGAAATGCTGATTCATACTTGACACTTTTGGGCACTGGTTGAAACGATGATGGTATTTCTGCCATAGTATCTTCTCCATGGTGAAAATAAGGGTTGAGATTGCTAGTATTCTATCACAGATGGTCCATATTAGGCAAAGAATGTCTTTTAGCCCTTTGTGTAATTAGCTAGCCTACCAAGTCTTCCTGCTTCAGGAAGTACCTTTCAAACTCCTATCTTTATGCACGTGAGTTATAAGGTGCTGTTGTCTCTTATTCATATAGGTCTTAAATGCCTTCGTTTAAATATGTAAGGATTATTTGAAAACAAATCTGACAGTTTTCAGACAGAATCTGTTAATTAGATTACAAAGGCCTACACTGCTGGGAATACAAAGTTTTATTTTACTGATTGATAATTTGCAAAAAATTTTTCCAGAAAATGTTTGTGCTCCTGCCCTCCCAAGTATATTTTTATTTAGGTATAACGGAAATTTCTGTCAGTTAGAGGCTCTGTTCATGTAGTTGAACTGTAAAAGTCATAACCAAACTGAATTTTTCGAGAGCTGTCAGTTAAAATTGTGCTATGTTTTTTTTAAGTGTGATATAAACCCTGTAAGTGATAAAAGACTGAGAATCAGCTGTAAAAATAGAAAAATTTCTGCATGGCAAAACATATCAGAGGCAAAACAGACAAATTATAAACTAGGAAAAGAAATTTGTAGCCCAGGCTGGGCACTGTGGCTCACGCCTGTAATCCCAGCACTTTGGGAGGCCAAGGTGGGCAGATCACAAGGTCAGGAATTTGAGACTAGTCTGGCCAGCATGGTGAAACCCTGTCTCTACTAAAAAAATACAAAAAAGGCCAGGGCAGGTGCTCACGCCTGTAATCCCAGCACTTTGGGAGGCCGAGGCAAGCGGATCATGAGGTTAGGAGATCGAGACCATCCTGGATAACATGGTGAAACCCCGTCTCTACTAAAAATACACAAAATTAGCCCAGCGTGGTGGCACATGCCTGTAGTCCCAGCAATTCGGGAGACTGAGGTAGGAAAATCACTTGAACCTGGGAGGTGGAAGTTGCTGTGAGCCAAGATCACACCACTGCACTCTAGCCTGGGTGACAGAGCAAGACTTTGTCTCAAAAAAAAGAAATTGGCAACCCATGTTCAGAAAAGGGGATATGTTTCAGTAAGAGAAATATTAATAACTCAGTAGAAAGATGGATAAGGTAAACTGTGTACCAAAAGGAAATTCAAGTGTCATTTTAAAAATAAGATGTGCTCGCTTGTACTCCCAGCTACTTGGGAGGCTGAGGTGGGAAAGATCACTTGAGCCCAAGAGTTCAAGGCTAGCCTGAGCAACATAGCGAGATTCCATCTCTAAAAAATATAAAAGAATGGCTGGGTGTGGTGGTTCACGCCTGTAATCCCAGTACTTTGGGAGGCCGAGGAGGGCGGATCACGAGGTCAGGAGTTCGAGACCAGTCTGACCAACATGGTGAAACCCCATCTCTACTAAAGATACAAAACATCAGCTGGGCATGGTGGCACATGCCTCTAATCACAGCTACTTGGGAGGCTGAGGCAGGAGAATTGCTTGAACCCAGGAGACGGAGGTTGTAGTGAGCTGAGATTGTGCCATTGCACTCCAGCTTGGGCAACAGGGTGAGACTCCATCTCAAAAAATAAAAATAAAAAAAAAGATAAAAAAATAACACATGCTCAACCTCACCTATAATAAGAGAAATGCAAATTTATATTATATAAATACCTTTTCCATATTAGCAAAGATCAAAAAGTTTGGTGTCAGTGCTGGCGTGGGTATGGGAAAATACGCAATCACTCTCACACATTTCTGGTTGGAATATAAAGTTGTACAGCTTCTGTGGAAGGTGGTACCCATCAAAATTGTAAAAGAATAGCTGGGCATGGTGGTGTGTGCCTGTAATCCCAGCTACTCGGGATGCTGAGGTAGAAGAATTGCTAGAACCTGGGAAGGGGAGGTTGCAATGAGCCAAGATCCTGCCATTGCACTTCAGCTTGCGTGGCAGACCAAGACTCCATCTCAAAAAATAAATGCATACATATATACATACATTCTTTGGCCTAGCAGTTTCATCAGTAGGAATTTTTTACACACATATAATCAGACATGTGCAAACAGACCTATGAACAAGATTGTTAATTTGTGGTATTGCTTACGGTAGCAAAAACATGGAGACGGGGACTTAGAAAAAGATCTAGAAGGATACAACCCAACTTTAGCCATGAGATGTGGAATGGTGATTACAGAGATGATTACCAGTTTGGACTGAACATTAGAATCATCTGTGGAGCTTTTAAGGTTCTATTGCCTAAGCTAGGTGCAGTGGCTCACAATTTGTAATCCTAACACTTTGGGAGGCTAAGGTGGGAGGATCACTTTGAGGCTAAGAGTTCAATACCAGCCTGGTTAACACAGTGGGATCCGATCTGTACAAAAAATACAAAAATTAGCTGCGTGTGGTGGCATGTGCCTGTAGTCCTAGCTACTTGGGAGGCTGAAGTGGGAGGATTAGTTGAGCCCAGGACTTTGAGGCTGCAGTGAACTGAAGTTGTGCTACTGCACTCCAGACTGTGTAACAGAGCAAGACACTGTCTCCAAAAAAAAAAGTTCTGTTGCTCATACCAAGTATATCAGAATCTCTGGAAGTACAGCTGGGACAGGAGTAATTCCTAACGTTCTTCAGGTGATTCCATTGTGCAACTGTGGCTTAGAATCACCAACCAAAAAGAAACATTCTATCTACATCTATTGTTTTTTAAAGAAGAAACATGTATTCTTTAAAGAATTTAAAGAAGAAACATGTCTTTTAAAGAAGAAAACATGTGGTCAGGAGTTCATGACCAGCCTGGCCAACATGGTGAAACCCTGTCTCTACTAAAAATAGAAAAAATTGACCAGGTGTGGTGGTGGGTTCCTGTAATCCCAGGCTACTCAGGAGGCTGAGACAGGAGAATTGCCTGAACTTGGGAGGCAGAGGTTGCAGTGAGACGAGATTGCACCATTGCACTCCAGCCTGGGCAGCAACAGCAAAATTCTGTCTCCAAAAAAATTAAGTAAATTTTATTTTGTAGAGATTAGAGTTCTGTTTTGAGGAAATTCATACAAGACGAAACACCTTTTCCTAATAAGTTGAATAAGCAAGTATACTAAACATATCATTTAAAGTCTTTTTGACGTGGATTGCATCAAAAAAGAGTGAAAGTTATTTTGAATGTTGGAGTTAAAGCAATTTTCTAGTGCATTGGTCCAGTGACTCCTTTTATAAAAACAAGGAATTCTTATAAAATCATATATTGTGTGCTTAGAAACACACTCAAACTCCATTTTGGCTTGAACTTTATAACCTCTTGTACCCATCATATATTCTTGATGTGTCTGTATAGAAATTATTCAGTGTCTTTTAGCCCCAAAGCAAGACCCACTCTTGAAGGGGGAATCTCATTTGTATAAGTCATGGGCTATTCAAACAAACAAAGTGTTAATTATAAGTATGGCTGAAAATATTTAACTTTCTTTCAAAGATAATATGCTTTTAAGGAGTTAGATATTTTATTTCTTTGGACTGAGCACTTAAGTCAAATACTAGCTTTTCAAGATATTTAATGGCATGATGCTCTTGAGTAAAATAGTTGATATCAAAAGCAGGGACACTTAAGAGAGGAAAGTGTACTTTTAGCCACCATGGAAAGAGAGGGTAATGATTTGGAGTTAATGGGGGAGAAAAAGTGTCCAGTGGAGTGCTGCTCACCCAGTGGGTGCTCAGTAAATGATTGTTGATAATGATGAAAATATGGAAACCAAAATGTTGACCCACAAGGAAGTGGACATTATCCCATCTAAATGCTGATTGGACCATTTATTTTTGAAATAAAATAGTCTTTGGAAGAAAAATGGATATGTGTCTAGCCCTAAGACTACAAATCTTAAATAGAAATTATTTTCTGAAATTTATGTTAGAATTGGAAAAAAGACAGTTGTGTAACCCTAGTTAATATGGCACAAAAAGTAAAGCAGTAAGTTTCCACATTAAAAATATATACAATTAAAAAATAATCTGCTTCATTTTAAGTTTATTTAATCATGTTTTAAATATATCAAGAGTTTCATATTTAAAGCAAGTGTCCCTACTGAATTTTTTCCAATGAATTCTCTTAAAGTAGAAGACACATTGCCATTTAGACCACCTCTTAGTTATTGCATTGGTGTAAAATTCAGCATTATACATGGTAGCAAAGCAGGGTGTTAAGCAATTCTGATCTCACTCTCTTTTTGATTACAGATTTTTCAGAATTAACACTAAACGGTAGCCTGGAAGAAAGGATATCCTTTACTAACATGGTTACCTGCAGCCAGGTGCATTTCAAGTGAAGTGTGCTGATGAAATCCTCTATAAGGTATTTATATTCACCTTTTAGTCCCTTTGTCAAATACTTTGTAATATGTACGTTACGTTTGGTTCTTTCTACAATATCAATGTTGATTTACTACATTAGGAATAGAGATTATTAGTAACCACATAAAAGGCTTACCAGTTGTTACTGAGCAGTGTAACTCTTTAATTTTCTTTCTACCTTTTGTAGTCAACTTTTAACAGGTCAATTTAATCCTAAAAGCAGAGAAATAAAAAAAAAAAAATTCTTGAGTGGTAATGTCTTTGCATTTAAAATCCGTATATGTAGTAGAAAGTGAGTTTGATTTTGGAAACACTGATGGAAGAGAAAAACCCTGAACAGGCATATCGATTTGCCGTTGAAAGTGAAGTTTTGTTATAAACAATTTTATTCCAGCCCAACTATAGGACAAGCCCTAGATGTAAATAGTCTCCTTAAAATGTTTTGATTTGAGATCGTAGTAACCAAAAGAATTAATGGAAATGACATTTTCTACTGTCTTACTCTTTTCTGGTGTCAGAAACAGTATTTGGTAAAATCAGATGAGTAAAATGCATGAGATTGTTCTTAAGCCATGTTTTATCCCCAAATAGATGGAAATTAATTAATTTTAGCATTTTAACATAGTTAAGAGTAAAATGAATCTTTATTATAAAAAACAAGATACTGAGTTACCTAGAAGATAAATAAAAAATAAACATATAATATTTATTTGAGGTATTTCATTGAATAAAGTAAGTTGAATTTAGTCGAAGTTGTCAGACTAAATTCAGACTAAAGTGTCAGAAGAGTGTACGTGCTCATTTACTTGGTACCCACTTCATACTTTTCTGTGGTTGGTTAATAATATTTACAACCTGGAAGGATTGTTATCTATAGATTTCTTTTCTCTTTTGAGATGGAGTCTTGGTCTGTTGCCCAGGCTGGAGTGCAGTGGTGTGATCTCAGCTCACTGCAACCTTCACCTCGCAGGTTCAAGCGATTCTCCTGCCTCAGCCTCCCAAGTAACTGGGATTACAGGTGCCCGCCACCATGCCCAGCTGGTTTTTCTATTTTTAGTAGAGACAGGGTTTAACCACGTTGGCCAGGCTCATCTCTAATTTCTGGCCTCAAGTGATTCACCTGCCTCAGCCTCCCAAAGTGCTGGGATTACAGGTATGAGCCACTGTGCCCGGCCAGATTGATTTTATCTATCAGGTATAGGACAGTGCTGAGATGGCAATCATTTGAACATTAAAGTAATATTTCTGGACAGATTTTAGAGTGATAAACTATCAAGTCACAACAGTTTATATACTATGATCCCATTTTTGTAAATAATTCATAATATACATTCATTATATACAGCAACTTTTTTTTTTGAGAGAGAAGTCTCACTCTTGTCCCCCAGGTTTGAGTGCAATGGCTTTATCTCAGCTCACTGCAACCTCCGCCTCCCGGGTTCAAATGATTCCCCTGCCTCTGCCTCCAAAGTAGCTGGGACTAAGGCACCTGCCACCACGCCTGGCTAATTTTTGTGTTTTTTGCAGTTTTTTCTTTGTATTTTTAGTAGAGACGGGTTTTCACCGTGTTAGCCAGGCATGGCCGGATCTCCTGACTCGTGATCCACCCGTCTCGGCCTCCAAAGTGCTGGGATTACAGGCTTGAGCCCCTGTGCCCGGCCCCGCCAGGGAATGTTTTAAGTCATGAGATACAGCAACGAACAAGGTTCTATCTTCATAGAAGACATCATTTCCTATGCAATGGGATCTAAAAGGATCAGAGATGTCAAATAACAAAGATGCAATTATGCATCAAGAAATGCCAACACATATCATTTGTTTCTTTGAAATTT